TATATGATTATACTGACCGATACTTGATGAAAATCCATTATGAAGTATTTGTGAACTTTCTGTTTTTTAAGGACAAAACACAAGAACTACAGAAAAATCCTTAAAGCGCTCTCAGAGCGGTACCTGTGCGAAATTAGCGATTCACATTGAATTTGTTTACCTTTGTGTAAATGTGAAAATATTTTAAAGCAATGGTTTTTATCAATAATTCCAACAAAAAGATTCAATCTTATAACACTGTGACAGGACAACGTATATTGAAAATCAATCTTCACACATTTCACTTTTATTGATGTTTAAAATTTCATATCGGAGTTTTTTCTCTAAACTATAATTTCCTAAAACACAAACACTTGATGTCAATAAATATATCGCACTAAAACACTTTCATTGAGTTATATGTATCATAATGGGATTAAAGTATTACAGAAACAGCAAATAAAAATTGTAAATAGTACTTCTTCTCGAAATGACAGTGGATTAGTGTTTATATATTATTGTAGTAGACACATTAACATAAAGAAATGATGACTCTCACTCTCTCTGATGTGCATAATAATGTATTAATCAAATCCTCAAACAAAGATTGCCAAAAATAATTCAGAAAATGATAAACGTTGATATCTTTACAACGTAATCCTCACATAATACTGATCAAACATGTAATAATCTTAATGTAAAATACAGATCACTTTGTCAAATTCGACGGTTATTCGCTTTAGGAATTCTGCCTCGATGGATTTTTCAGTTTCATCTGACACTTCTGAACATATTCCAGTATACTAGTTCTTCGTGCTCTCAATTCTTCTCTCACACAATATACATGTGACAGAGAAATCATCAAATGTATTAGTTTTTCATTTATTTCGTAAAATCTCATATCGTTGACTTTTCCAGTAAAAGTATTAATTTCATCTTCTACTTTTTCAGCATCTTTCTCAATTGTGGATAAAGTTGTCAGTACATCTATGGAGTATTGATCGCTAAGTCCCATATTGTTTTGATTTTGAGTTACTTGATGATTCGTCCCTAAAATTTTATGATTTCCATCAGGATTTTCGTCAGGAGTTGAATTGGAATCTTGTGAAAAATTATTCATTTCATTTATTTCTTCCGTCTCTCCAGCTTTCACTTCATTACAAATGGCTACAATTGGAATATCCGTTATTAAATATTTTTCTGCTCTCACCAAATCTTCAACATCATGCTTGTCGAAATGATATTCATTCAATGGGAATTTGCTACCTTCGTTATTTTCGCGCTCCTGGCAAAAATCCCATATGAAGTTGATAATTAAGTAGCTAAGAAAAACAATCAATAAACCAACCAACACACAGAATGATGTCCAGAACAGCAGAGGAGACATGGTGGAATGAAAAGATTATCTTTTCGATACTATCCTATTATCAAATGACGTTTTAATGATGATTCAATTGTTATCATGGAAGTTAGATAAGACTATTTGTTGGTTTTATGTATGATTGATATTCATTTCATTATATACTGTGTGAGTAAACATTCGTTTTCCAAATTTATAGTTTTCTATAAAAGTTCTGAGCATCCACTAACACCCTATTTCGATCTGAGGAAGACCTATAACTATATAGTACTGGATGAAAAAATTATCTTGAATATAATTGTATAGATTCACCAATACCCTTCAATGAAGTGTCATGAACGCCTTCTTCATGAGATATCGATGATGTATTGAGTTCCCCAAAAGCTACTAGATTGTGTTAGGTTAGGTCCAAAGTGAGTGAGTCTATTCGACCCTCCACCGCAATCCGCAAGGGTTTATTGTGGCTCACACATATTCACACTCGACCAAATAAACCCAGCTTCTCAACGAAGCCGATTAGTTTGTATGGTGAGTGGTCTTTTAGGTCAGATGGTAAGAGTACGGCTCTGCCAAACTTTAAAAACCTGATTCTGTCCCTAGCGGGGCAGGCACAAAGTATATGCTCTACTTTTTCATCGTTAATGAGGTAGTCGGATAGTCAAGGTGCAAGATTTCCACCTTGATACTCGCGACAACCTTCTTATATGAGAGTTTTTACACTTCAGCTACACCTAAAGATGCCCTAGATTCAACCGTGCAGGGCTTTTTAGCCTCTGCTCAGTCGTTTCCTGGCTGCACCATCAAACCTTTTTTTTAGGTTCAGTTATTGGATCAGGAGTTGAAGAGTTGAGAAGCTCGACATCCATCTCCTCTATAGACTCGCTCCTGATCAAAATTTACAGGGAGGTTAGTTGGAGTCGTAAGCTCGACATCCATCTCCTCTGTAGACTCAACGTCAGAAAAAATTTTCAAGTTTACTCTGTTTATAAAAGTCCTACGAGTAGCTAGGGAAAGAAGATCAATCACGGCAGAGCCCCGCATTACCGTTACAAGGCGATGCTACGATGAGATGGCGCCCGATATATTGAAAGTTCCGTAGAGACAGCTGAAAGGCTCAGTGTCATTCATCCTCTCGGCAAGGATACACACACCTTAGGATTGTTGGGATGCCATTCAGTTAGGAAATGACAGAACCACAACTGATTCTGTCATTCCCGTATCCAGCGGGGCTACGTAGGAGCAGGCATCCGATGGCCGGTTTGCTCAATCCCCACATCCCAAGCCAATGCACTCGCCAAAAACAGCATGAACAGTGGTTCAAGCAGTGAAAGATGAACAAGCCAACCCGCCCCCAAAAGGTGCTACTTATGGATTTTTTCAGGAAGCAGGGACGGACCTCTATCAGTTACTTTGTATATAAACAGTTTCATGATAATTTAATCTACCAGTTTTTGTGGATGCCATAGTGAAGATGTTTCAGAAAGAAACATGAACAAATATAAAGGTCGAAGTCGAACAAGATCTCTAGCCGAATTGAAATTGACATCATTTACAGGAACGCTACACAATATATGAACGAATATTACTCTTTTATATATTACGTGAATTATATTTGATTCAATTCCATAACAAATGATGAGTTTGAACATGAACAACAAGCTTTTTTTTATGAAATAACATTTTCACTTACAGAGAGGTTTTTGATAAAATACCTGATTTTTGAGTCTGACGATGCAAATTTACTGGATGCATGCAAAATTGACACATTCACTCGCCATACCACAAAGAACTGGCCAAGTGAGTTTATCACTATGCTTGGACTCCTTCACAAGGGACGAAATTTTGGATGGACATGAAAAACCGACGAATCCGACTTGCATAGAAGGAAGAAAATGCACTAAGTCCCTATGAATTCACAAGTTTCCCCGTATTTCAAAGGATTCTTTCCAACGAAAAGATTTATGGGTGAACTGAATGTTGCCATCAAATTTCCTCTAGATGGGTTAGATATGAGCAATTATGCAATAGGCATTTTGACTTGTTGTTATAATCTATTTGCACTTTCGAATTACAGTGGGTCTACTTACAGCGAACATTACACGGTATACTACAGACACCCGTACACTGGTACGTGGCATGAATACAACTATTCACATCTGTTACCAATTTTAACGAAGTCACCTGTGAGTGGGAAGGCATAGGTCTTCTTTTATGAAAAGGAGGAAACGAGCACTTTTGGACCTGAGTGGATGTTTCTTTCATCATTTTAATATGTTATCAATGACCTGTCAATTATTAGATTGAATTTATATTAACTGTAAGAACACATTCAATGAAGTACGGATGTCAAAAAAAATTAAAAAAATAAGTTGAAAAATATCACTTTCCCGAAAAATCTTCATCCAAAAAAAAATCTGTCCATTACAGATTCATTTTCAAATTAACAATTTTCACCCTCGAGAAGAAGACATCCACACTCATGACAGAAGCTTATTCCTTTGAAAGGAATATAACATCGTTCAAATGTCTGCCACGGCTTCTCTGGGTGGAGCGCCTCCAAAACGTCCAATTTTCCGTGACTGTGACGCATAATTCAGGCTGAATTTGACCGACGGCATGGGTAATGTTGGCTTTGAGGACTACTGTGGTTTGACGCTCTTGGATCTTATGTGGATTGGTATCGTCTCAAATTGACAATTTTATTTGTTCACGTACCCATTTATCCAGAAATGGCCCTTTCTATGGAAATTAGAGTTAGTTGTCAACTGCTCCAGAGCCCATTTACCGAGCACACGTTGTGGTCTATCTATGGTCATTCACCTTCAGTTCCTGGGCCAGTTAAATTTAGTACGGGTGTAGGTCCAAGTCGCGACGCAAAATTTGCTAAGTTATAGTCAGCGAAATAACGAGTTCTTATGAGCGACGCGAAATTGACTACTTCGGATTCTACTGCACACTCTCACAGACAGCGATGATGTTTTCGGTAGATCTTGGGTTTTGTCGACGTACATATGTTAGTCGGTTGTTAACTGAACCAGTGGACTCAAATGTATCCACCACATTGCAAATAGTCCTCTCCGTAGAACGATTATGGCGATCGTAAAATGGGCGAAGGGCGGGGTACGTTACCTGAACAGAACACCCATTTTGATGAAGCAATTTAATTATTCGCACGTGTTTTTGAATGCTACATCCGTCTATGGTCATTTGGCAAAACAGACTGAATAAATGACAACTAATTTGAGCGATGTAGCTTTAGCAAGATGGCCATTATCAATTGCCAAAGTTCGAAAGTCCCTGTTGTAAGACCCCATATACATGAATTATGTGTCTGCGTATACAAAAACAGACACAAATTCTTCTTCAGGCAGTATCAATATTCTATATCTTTTTTAAACCTATTTATATCCAACGCACATCGAACTACAATATATTAATAGAAAAACGGACCCCTAATACCCGGTGTTGTTCGTGGTCAGCTCTCGTTAATAATTGAACATTTTTTTTTCCCGGTAGCACCTGTAGATATCGGAAAATCGGAAAAATTGCGTCCTGTCGGCAAGGATCGCGGGAGTTCGCGCATTTGGCGCTCCTGACATCCGACTAGAAAGGCAGGAGAATTAGTCTGAAAACGAGCTCGTCTCGATATGTGTTGATTTTCGCGATTTCATAAGAGACCAAAAGACTGCTTACATCGATTATAGTCATATTTTCTTTCGGTGATTGATTTTCTCACGGTGTTCGGTTCCTGGCGGAATAGTCGCCGGTTTTCGGCTATGAAATTCGGTTATCGAGAGTGGATTTTGTTGGAAACAGGACAGAAACTTGTTGATACTCATCAGTTGTGGGAATTATGTTCGTATGGTCGTTCGAGTAGTATTTCCAGTTCCAATTGTTCATTTGAAATAGTCAATCAACAATTTGATAGGCATACTTCGGTATATTCTTGGGGTTATTCGATTTAGGAAAAACATAGAATAACAGGAAATAGAGAATGTGTCACTCAATAATAATCCATTTATATGAACAACAGAAAAGAGGTTTAGCCGTAACTATACACCACCCTTTCAAAACTTTGAAGCTATTATTAATATTATATTTTATCGTTAATATCACATTGACCATCAATAAGAAACATATATACATTTTTAGATCAAACAAACAAATGATTTCCCAATTTAGTGAAGAATTATATCTATATATACAAGCCTAAACATATTTTCATTCGGTTTTTTCTACTACGAAACATTTTCTTGAACCATCAGACAATAAGTGTTCATAATGACATTATTTGAAACGAAAGGTTATTCAGCATCAAGAAAGGTGACAATTGGTGAAATGAGTAATTGAATGAAGGTAGAATTCCATTCAGAATCATGAGCAAAGAATAAGGAAGGAACTTCACATTTTCAAGTGAGGTTATGCTGAGATATATAAGATATATAAGGCTCGATTATAAGATTCACTTCGTGAATGTGATATTGCTTATTTATAGACCGGAATAAATAGAAAAGAGTTTGCATTTTTACCAATCTCTACAAGAATGAACGAGTGATATATTTGATTCCATTCATAGGAAAACGATGGGTAGGATCCTAGAAAAACTATAATTTTTTCAACATTTCGAATTATATTTATTCATCTTCGGAGCTCTTAGGTCAGTTTTCCTGTATTCCAATGGTTTGCAATATGTACAAAGAAAGACATTTATAGGTTTTTTTAGTAGTTTATTAATCACTAAATCACCTACATGTATTTATAAAAGCATACAATAGAAAAATGGGGGATAATTATAGATATAAGGAAAGGTTTGTTAAAACGAGTTTTATTATTGAATTTTTATCAGAGGAAACAGGTATCGATTATTCACTTAAGTTTATGGAAAACTTGTCTGCGAAATATCAATATCGAAATTCTTTCCTTCGAAGATGGTCAAGATATAATGTATTTTGAATTACTCGGGCAAAACATTCTAGTGCTTAAATAGTATTAACAACATCGATATTATCTTTTCCTAAAAAGTAGTGAATAATATTCTTAGTATACTACAAAAAAGACACATTGAATATAAAATCTGAAAGTATAAAATCTCTAAACGTGTTCTTAATGTAAAACATATAAAACGTAAAAATTTAAATGTGTAAATACATGAAAATATAAATGTTACAATATAAAATACAAACTCGTCTTAAATTGAAAGTATTCAAAATGCTAGGTAGGGATTGAAAATATACATGAAAATTGAGACATTATTTCAGTAAAGTTTGTTTATAGTAATGTTTATTTCCATTTTTTAGCCATTTTATCACTGAAATTTTGAATAATTCAAACACATATTTCGTTTTTATATGATCTGGTTTATGAGGTATATGAGTTTACCAACAAAAGAAAGACTTGAAGGGTGACACACAACAACTGATCCAATACTGATGTATTTAAGATAATATCTTGATTATTATTGTCCTTTGTATTTGTTTTAACACCTTTCTACCCTCTGTATATATTTTGAACAATTGGAACACAGTTCTATCCTAACACCAAACCGTTATTTTTAACGGCTAGACACGTGTTTCAATCATGAAGTGATCATTTTCAAGAGAAAGATCAATCTTCCTCTTGTGAATAAATATCTACCTATATTTCAATTTTTCTATGATATTTTGAAAATAGACATGAGACATCACTGAAGCTTTAGAGCTTGTGCGTGATATAGATGATAATATTTATATAGTATAGGATACAACAGTAATACATATAATTATCATTAATATTAGAACAACAATTATATATTGAAATATTCACACAGTACTATTAATATAATTTCATGATTTTTTTGTTTTTTTTTCGTTGTTTTTTTTTTTGTTATTATTGTCAATATTGGTTACAAGATCAGTCGAATTCGAATTTAGTCAAGAATTAAACTCTGAATATATTGATAAATTGTTATTTTGTTAATGAGAAACATATTTTGGGAAAAATATCAAGCGACTTCGTAAATTTTAATGTATAATGTATTTCCTGCTGCCGGAGTTAGTAGTCGAACTGGGTTTTTGGATGCATTGTCCTACTTTGTGAAATGACAGGGCTCCGGGGACTTGAGGCAATCAAGCTAATTTCAGTTTTTCATTTAATTATTGGATGTCTTAGTATCATGAAAATTCAATTTTCATAAAACTTCGCATTATAACAGTGAAATACATACGAACGATCATGAAATCTTGAATGTTTACAATGTTTAAGCAGGGAATATTGATTAATGAGTTTATTGTATGAGGTAGTGATTGAATTCGACCAGCTTCTCAGAGATACTTCAGAACATCCTAAAACAAACCGAAAAATAAAAAATTTACTCGGAAACGATTGGAAAGTACTTCTTTCGACAAGGCATGTCACAAACCTAAAGAGGCAAATTCAGTTTATTTCGTAAAGTACTAACATAATTAGGAATACAAATAGTGGACACGTAACATTCATGGATTAATGTGGCGTATCTATAATCTAGAAGATGAAGCTATTGTATAGCGAAACACGTGTTGCGTTTTTGTTGAACTGTTCAGTGAAAATCTCACAACGAAGTGTTTCTTGAATCAGTCTTTACCGGGTGTTCATGAGTCTATTAGACAAGTCATAACTTCTAGACTATTAGGTGTATAGAAATGAGATTTCTTATAGGTGAATGGTATGTGAAGAGGAGAGTTTTCACATATTCTTCACTTTCCAGTCACTTCCGGTTTCACAGGAAATGGCTCCAATTCTAATTCTGTAAATGGGACACCCTGTATATTGAAATATTTTTGAATTTGACATTCTCTCAAGTTTTTATGACTAGATATGAACAATAATACATTTATTTCCCAAAGATGATAAAACATATAGTGATAGTCACTTATAATCTAAAGATCTGAAGAATAAGAAATTTATCCAATGTATGAAAAGCATTGTCGAGTAAATATTTTCTCAAACGAGTTTTAAAAATAGAAATATTGGCGGAACTAACAATTTCTTTAGTCAGTTTATTAAAAATCCTCAGACTCAAATATTTGGAAGACTTCGAAAGTACAACATATTTACAGAAGGGAATGTGGAAATCAGCGCAATTCTGGGGTAGAAACACTTCACAAACATATGTCAAATCGTAATTGGGAGGTTACTTGTGCTTGATATAATACGAATAATTGTTCACGTAACAAAATTTTCTTAAGATTTCGGAACATAAAACATGATGAGTTCAATTTTCAGATGGAGTTGGTACAATGTTCTGTCCAGTTTAAACCAGCGTCTATAGTAATTCCAAAAAATTTTACTGATAAAGTAGGCTCAATCAAGATTTTATCAATTTTAATCGTTACAGTTTCGCATTGTTTTTGGTAAATGTGGAATCGAATTATATTTGTTTTATCACTATTGAAATAGACAGACTTTTGACCACACCATGAAATGAGGTTACCAACCACAGTTGTACACTTTTGTTTCAAGGTATTTTCACATTCGTCACAGACAAATATATTGGTGTCATCTGCATATCTGATAAAGCTGGCAGAATATTCGATATCATCCTTGTCATTCGTGTAGAATAAAATAAAATTGTCCCCAAAAAAGAGCCTTGGGGAACGCCCATGGAAATATTTTGATATGCAGATTTAGTAGGAAATATACTAACAAACTGTTTTTTGTGTGTCAATAAACTACGAATCCAGTCGAATGAAACTCCACGAATACCATATTTGTGCAAGGGTACTTCATGCTGAACTCAGGCAAATGCCCTGCTGAGATCACAGAAGATCCCATAAGGGCACTCACCTGATTTGATTGCTTTGATAAATTTTTCATAAAATGACAACACCGCAAAGTAACATTTCCCTGTTTAACTATTATTTTTCGAATGTTAACTATTTTTTGACAAGCACTTTCCGAAAAAAGGATTTTTTGACGAATCTAACGACACTAATTTCTTTGCGACTGGATTACAAATAAGAACATAAATTAAATATTACTGAGGAAAATACTTGATAATACTTCATTTACTTTGGTCAAGTGTGCCTGGAATGAGTTTACCAGTACGAGGCTAGCCTCAATGAAAATGTCATTACATATTCATTGATTCTTATCGACAGATTATCTATTTTAAATTCGAATAATTTTGCCTGACATCAGACACTGTATTATTTAAAAGATACAGGAAAGAAATTGCCAGAGTGTGGTTCGCCTTAATGAAAATTTCATCACATGAGTTATCCATTTTGAATTCGTATTTTTTTGCCTAGCATCAGGCATTGTGACGACCTTCTCTTTGAATTATACATTGAAAATTTTCTCGTGTGGGACGTTTTGATGGCTTCATCCACTTCATGTGCACCACTTCATTGTGCACCAATTTCCAGTATTATTTCATGAATATCATTATCCAGACCTCCTACTAGAATATTCATATTTCCATTAACCTATGTTTGCTCATTTATCACATCACCCGTCACGTCTCTTGGTCATTTTTTCAACTTTACAACCACATATTTTTTGTGGAAAGATGGTTGTGAACATGCATATCGATTGCGATTTTATGAATGTGGATCAGATGAAAAAGTCTTTCCTCACTCAACAGGCTTTTTATAAAGCAAATGATTGACTGAGCACATACTGTTGATAATGAGGGTTTGTGCTGTAACTTTGGTGAAAGCTCTGTTTTTTAAATAATGTTCCATGAATTCATCTCTTTCAGTTCTTCCACACGGCACGACTATTCTGAGTATAGCCGTATTCTTGAAATCATTCAACTCAAACGAATTGTTAATAATATTGAACTAAAATAAAAACATTGAGTTGATGACACCTTTTTTATTATTTCAATTAAAAATTGA